AAGATATTGCTGCCTGGGAGGAAAACCAGGATGTAAAAGTACGTCATGTAGATGCCCACATGCCCAAGAGTCATGCTACTGAAGAACATCAGAACAACAAAGAAGTGGATCGAGCTTTGAAAATTGAAGTGGCTCGTGTGGACCTAGACTGGGAACGTAAGGGTGAGCTGTTTGTAGCTCGATGGGCCCATGAAACATCAGGACATCTGGGGAGGGATGCCACTTACAGATGGGCTTGTGATCGAGGGGTGGACTTGACCACTGAGGCCATTACACAGGTTACCCATGAGTGTGAGACCTGTGCTGCAATCAAGAAAGCCATGAAGGTAAAATCTCCCTGGAACGGGGGGAGGTGGCTAGGGTTTCAATATGGTGAGGCCTGGCAAATTGACTATATCGGACCACTCCCACAAACACGCCAAGGCAAATGGTACATACTCACCATGGTAGAAGGAACTTCTGGGTGGCTGGAAACGTACCCTGTAAACCATGCCACAGCCCTAAACACTATCTTGGGCCTGGAAAGACAAGTGCTGTGGCGTCATGGTACACCAGAGAGAATTGAGTCTGACAATGGGAGTCACTTCCAAAACAATCTTGTTACCTCCTGGGCCAAGAGGCATGGTATTGAGTGGGTGTACCACATCCCTTATCACCCACAAGCCTCTGGGAAGGTTGAGAGGTACAATGGACTGTTAAAGACTATGTTACGAGCATTAGGTGCTGGGACATGGAAACAATGGGACACAAATCTACCAGAAGCCACTTGGCTAGTTAACAATAGGGGGTCTGACAGCCGTCCTGGTCCTGCCGAAACAAAACCCCTACACACAGTGAAAGGAGCTAAAATCCCCATAGTGCATGTAGGAAAGTGGATGGGGAAGGCAGTGTGGGTTGCTTCTGCCTCAGGAAAAGGCAAACCCACTCGTGGGATTGTCTTCGCCCAGGGACCAGGGTATACCTGGTGGGTAATGCAATAGAATGGGGATATCAAGTGTGTGCCTCAAGGAGATTTGACCTTGAGAGAAAACTAATCTGTGATCTAAGTTATATGTTGTAGGAAGGCGCTGCAGGATCAACGACAGGTCAACTTTGCAAGGAGCCGAGCAGTGCAACAAGGACTTGAGCTAAGCTGGTGCTGGTGTCCAGACATCCAACTCCACCTGCCCTGAGTGGCCACTTTGGCAGATGAAGACCTAATCATCAACAGTTCTTATGAACATTTTCCAAGAAAGATCTATGGAATGAAAAGGTATACCTGCCTATTAATCCTGTCCTGTTAAATTCTTGTCCTGCTAAAGGACAACAAATAATGATGAGAATACTTGTATGCTAAAGTATTGGGGGATCTGAGTGTGACACAAATGTTATGGAATAAGGGGTGGAGGTTGTAATGGGTCTGGCTGGAATGTTAACTTTCCCTGCAGCAGCCCATACAGTGCTGTGCTTTGCACTTGTAGCTAGAACAGCAGTGTTATCACACCAATGTTGTGTCTGCTGCTGAGCAGTGCTGGCACAGCATCGGGACTCTCTCTAACCCTCCTAGGGGGAGGGCAAAAAGTGAGGAGAGAAACATCACCAGGGCAGCTGGCCTAAACCAACCAAAGGGATATTCCATACCATGTGATGTCACACTCACCAATAAAGGGTGGGAACAGTAACAAGAGGGGAGGGGTGGGCTCTCGTTGTGAAAACGTCAGTCCACCTCCCAAACACCGGCTACGTGTGTTGAGGCCCTGCTACAAGGACGTGGTCAAGCATTGCTCATTTGTGGGAAGTAGAGAGTAATTTCTTTCCTCTGCACTTCCACATAGCCTTCATTTGTTTTATTTGTTTTCCTCCCTTTTTTCCCTTTCCCCCTCCCTTTTCCCCTTTCCCTTTTTTTTTTCCCTTTAGTTAAATTGTTTAGTTCATAATAGTCTTTCTTTAATTATTATTATTATTGCCCTTTAATTAAATTATCCTTATCTCAACCCGTGAGTTGTTCTTTGCTTTACTTCTTCCCCTCCTCATCTAAGGAAGGGGAGTGAGAGAGCGGTTGTGGTGTTTAGCTGCCCAGCATGGTAAAACCACCACAGAAGGAAAAGCAGAGCAAAACTAATGGCCAGGCACTTCAAATAGGAATATCCGCAGTGGAAGAAGGAGGAGAAACTTCCTCCTTCTATGTAATAGACTTCTTCCAAGTTATTGTAATGACTTGTTCCAAGTCATTACAACACAGGCTTAGAGCAAGCAGTGACTTGAGAATTAGCATCATAACACAAACATATGCTATCGAAGTATCTCCTGAATTACAGTGTTACAAAGACTGATCTCAAAAATATTTGGGAAAAAAACAAGATCCTACATAAAGTGGCTCAAGATGACACTTCCTGGGTATTTAGAGACATTTGGGAGAAACTAACTTCATGGTTACCTGAATGGAATTGGCTCAAACAACTATTTGTTGGTATTATAATAGTAATGGCATTGTGTGTCTGTCATCCCCCATGACATCCAAAGAAAAATATTGTGCCCTAATGTTGGAAAAACTCAAGAGTGGGGGATGTGAAGTGGTGCAAAAATGACAACAGGAGTAAGAAAATAAGAGGGGGGAATTGTGAGAAACAAAGGTGGTTTTTGTTGTGTGCGTTTTTGTTGTTTTTTGGTTTTTTTTTTCAGTAGAATGTGTTTTTGCAGTGGAAAATTCCACTAACCTTGCATATTCAAAAGTGATTGTGCAGGCATGACAGTTGCATAGCAGTGGGGAGTATGTTAAGAAGCTAAGGGGAAGGTCCCACTGTCCCAAAATAAGGAGGATAGCTAAGAAAAACAGGACGAGCAGTGCAAAATCAGTAAAAACAAAAATCACGGACACTCTAGTCAAGAGAGAAGAAGGAAAAAAAAAAAGGAAAAGGAGAAATTAATGGTTGGTCAAATAAAATTGTGCATATATGGTATAGCAAGAAGCGTCGAGTAGTTTGTGAACTTGTAGTACACAGCCGATGAGGAAACGGGGGGAATCAAGCATCAGGTAATAGGGAATATAAGGCTATGATATACTTTTACTGCGCGCTCCTGCTTGCAGGACTCCCACCATTGCAATCGCGAATAAAATAGCTTCACAGAAGACCCTGTCTGAAAAAAATATTGAGATTTTTCTCACAGTCAGTAGGACTAAGGAAGCAATTGTCTCCCTATACTCAGCCCTGGTATGACCATACCTTAAGTACTACGTTCAGTTTCGGGCCCCTCACTAGAAGAAGGATATTGAGTTGCTGGAATGCATTCAGAGAAGAGCAACTAACCTGGTGAAGGAACTAGAAAACAAGACACAAGGAGCATCTGAGGGAACTGGGGTTGTTTATTCTGGAGAAGAGGAGGCTGAAGGGAGACCTCATTGCTTTCTACAACTACCTGAAAGGAGGTTGTAGAGAGGAGGGTGTCTATTTTCTCAGGTGAAAAGTGATAGAATGCGAGACAACGGCCTCAAGTTCCTGCCAGGGGAGGTTTAGATTGAATATTAGGAAGAATTTGTTCATGGAGAGCGTGGTCAAGCACTGGAACAGGCTGCCCAGACAAGCAGTGGAGTCACCATCCCTGGAGGTCTTTAAGAGATGTATGGATGTAGCACTTCTGGACATGGCTTAGTTCTGGACTTGATGATCTTAAGGGTTTTTTCCAACCTAAATGATACTATGATTCTAAGATGTTTTTTAGATGCACAGATTGTTCGCAAGATTGGTTGGAACAACTTAAGAAGTTAAATGACTTTCAGTAAGTTTTCCCATTGTATTACTTTCAAACTTTTAGCATTTAATGTTAACTTATGGCTCCACAGCATGCATACATCAATCCTCTTTTTCCTATGGAACACATACATAACATTTACGATGTTGCCATTTAACCCCATATGCAATATACAAGAATAACTGTCACCAGGGGTCAAGTTTAAGCCATGCACCTCAAATAGTGAACAAAACATTGAATTAATATATACTGGTACACACACAATTTTATCTCATGAATAAGTAAAAATAAAGAAAGTGAAGCCTAAGAAGAAATATCTAGAAATATTTTCAAAAGTATATTTGCGTATCATTCAAAAATTTCTTTCCAAACTGTGAATTCTCAGAGCATAGATTTCCAAGTCATTACAACACAGGCTTAGAGCAAGCAGTGACTTGAGAATTACACATGAATGAGAGACTTCTCTGCTCAAAGGGAGTTCTAAGAAAGTAGCCGTATATCGGTATATTCAGCTGTTCTGAGCTTTAAATCCTTAAAGCAAGTAGCATAATGTATACATCCAGTACTTTTCTTTTTAAACCTTTTTTTTTTTAAGTGAAAAAGAAAATAAGACTAAAAGAGCTGAAAACTTGAATAATATGATTCGAATCACTAAAAACAGTTTTTGTTAAAACAGTAGTCTTGTGGAGGCTTAAAACAGGTATAACAAGAAATAAGCGTCCAATGTCAACAGCATCTTAACACAAACATATGCTATGGAAGTATCTCCTGAATTACAGTGTTGGTGTTATAGGGGATACAACAGCAATTAAGAGGACTACTTGCTAGCCCTTGCCACTATTCTTCCACATTCAGTACAGCCTACAACCCCTGCTACGTCCCCAGATACAACCAGAAAAGAACATATTCTCTAAACTCTCACCACTATTTCTCTCCACCATGGCACTTTCTGGTACAGCATACTGGGGTGTGTGTGCATGTAGATGTTAAACCTTTTGAATTTGAAGTTAATTTAGAAGTAATCATTTTATAAGATAAATGTAACAGTCCAATAATTTGATGTCTGCCAAAACACCTAACCCAAAAGAATAAACCAGATTTCACGTACTAGAACCAAAGAGAAAGCAAGATTTTAACTTAAAGAGATAGAAACTTACTATAATTTTTAGCATGTTATTTGGGGAAAAAAAAAATAAAATGTTCCTAAGCAATGAAACAAATATACATGTTTATAACTATGGCAAACAGTTCCAATATTAACTATTACTTACCAAAATCTACCCTTGTTAGTATGCACTGCATGGGATGGTCAGTTGTATGCCTCGTTGTTGTTGCACCACTTTCATAACAAGTTGCACACAAATCGTAATCATAGCAAATTAAACACTTGTATCTGCGACCTCGAAAATTTCCTTTTAAACATGCATCACAGCTGACACCTGTGAATAAAAAAAAATACAGGAAAAAATAATTTTACATTGTTATAATGATACAGATTTGTCGCTATCATCTCCCAACAACAACAACCAAAAAGAAATTCAGCCCAAAAGCTTTTATGTAGCTGATGAAAATAAGACAGCTTTAAACATATTTTTATTTTTAAAAAGGCAACAGTCACCCAAATTGAAAGTTAAACTTAAAGTAAAATAAATTAAAAAACACAGTCAGTCACCTAAACTGATAGATGGTTAAGCTATAAATTATTTTATAATCACTTCTTCCTTGTTTGGAAGTTTGGTTCAAAACATTCTCAAGGTTAAACAGTATAGCAGTCGATCTGGAAGTTTCTACAAAAACAAGCAAACAAAAACTCCCCACAGCAGACCATCTCACAAACCACAGATAAGCACATACCACCACATAATAACATCCCTCCCAGGCTTTTGTGTTTATTTTTTATACATTCTAACATTTCAATTCTGAAGAATGCCTGCCACAACCACTCTTCACAATGCATACATATCTGTGTGGTGGTTTCGCAGCTGTAGGTAGCTCAGCACCACCAGACTGCTCTCTCACTCCTACTCCTCAAAAGAAAAGAGGGAGGAAAGATGATAAAAATAGCTCATGGGTTGAGATAAGGACAGGGAGATCACTCACCAACTGTCACAAGCAAAACAGACTCAGCATAAAGGAGATGTAATTGATAACAGACTTAGAGCTGTGAGAACTAAAAACAAACTAACACCTTCCTCCCCCATCCACCCTCTTCTTCCACCTCCCTGAGCAGCACAGGGGAATGGGGATTGTGGTCAGTCCATAACACTTAGTCATGTGCTGCTCCTTCATGGTTAGTCTTTTCTCCTGCTCCAGCGTGGGGTCCTTCCCGCAGGACATGGTCCTTCCCAAACTTATCCTACATGGGCTTCCCAAAGACTGCAGTTCTTCAAGAACTGCTCCAATATGGGTCTGTGCCATGGGGTGCAGTCCTTCAGGAACAGACTGCTCCAATATGGGTCCCCCATGCACGGCAGTTCCTGCCGGAGCACCTGCTCCACCGTGGGCTCCTTCACAGGCTACAGAGTGGATATCTACTCCACTGTGGTACTCTATAGGCTGCAGGGGGAACAGCCCGCTCCACCATGGTCCTCTCCAATACAATCTTGGAGTTGAGATCAGGGTCTTCTATTTTGAAGTAAACATGAAAATTTAGATGTACGCAAGTTACATTGCATCAGCTCTTCAGCTTCTTCCTTTTGGGAGGTTCAATCTTTGCACTACAAATCAGTCACACTGCCTGTGTCAGCAAAAGGCTTCGTAACTTCTAAAGGTTTTGCAATTTTCTCTATACTGTTTCAGCTCTCTATTGTCTCTTCCCACTGACTGGAAGAGGAGAAACAACCCCCATTTTTAAAAAGGGAAAAAAGGAAGACCTGGGGAACTACAGGCCAGTCAGTCTCACCTCTGTGCCCAGCAAGACCATGGAGCAGATCCTCCTGGAAACTATGATACAACACATGGAAAATAAAAAGGTGATTTGTGACAGCCAACATGGCTTCACTAAGGGCAGATCATGCCTGACAAATCTGGTGGCCTTCTATGATGGGATTACAGCATTGGCAGATAAGGGAAGAGCAACTGCCATCATCTACTTGGATTGTGCAAAGCATGTGACGCTGTCCCACACAACATCATTGTCTCTAAATTGGAGAGACATGGATTTGAAGGACGGACCACTTGGTGGGTAAGGAATTGGGTGGATGTTCTCACTCAAAGAGTTGCTGTCAATAGGTCAATGTCCAGGTGGAGATCAGTAACGAGTGGTGTTCCTCAGGGGTCAGCAATGGGACTGGCGCTGTTTAACATCTTTGTTGGTGACGTGGACAGTGAGAATGAATGCACCCTCAAGCAGGTTTGCCGATGACACCAAGCTGTGTGGTACGGTCGACATACTGAAAGGAAAGGATACCATCATAGAAGGACTTTGACAGGCTTAAGAAGTGGGTCTGTTCAAACCTCATGAAGTTCAACAAGGCCAAGTACAAGATCCTGCTGGGGCAATCATAAACACAAATACAAGCTGGGCAGAAAATGGATTGAAAGCAGCCCCAATGAAAGGACCTGAGGGTCTTGGTTGATGAGAAGCTCAACATGAGCCAGCAATGTGTGCTTGCAGCCCAGAAAGCCAACTGTATCCTAGGCTGCATCAAAAGAAGCATGGCCAGCAGGTCAAGGGAGGTGATTCTCCCCCTCTACTCTGCTCTTGTGCGACCCCACCTGGACCACTGCATCCAGCTCTGGGGCCCCCAGCACAAGAAGGACATGGACATATTAGAACAAGTCCAGAGGAGGGCCCCAAGGCTTTAAAGTAAAAGAGGATAAGTTTAGATTAGATATAAGGAAGAAATTCTTTACTCTGAGGGTGGCAAGGCACTGTAACAGGTTTCCCAGAGAATTAGTAGATGTCCCATCCCTGGAGGTGCTCAAGGTCAGGTTGGATGGGGCTTTGAGCAACCTGATCTAGTGGAAGGTGCCCCTGTCCATGGCAGAGGGTTGGTCTAGATGACCATAGAATATGCCGAGTTGGAAGGGACCCATAAGAATCATTGAGTCCAACTCCTGGCTCCACACAGGTCTATCCAAAAATTCAGACCATATGACTAAGAGCACAGTCCAAATGCTTCTTAAACTCCGACAGGCTTGGTGCCGTGACTACTTCCCTGAGGAGCCTGTTCCAGTGCGTGACAACCCTTTCAGTGAAGAATCTCTTCCTGATATCCAGCCTGAACCTCCCCTGTTGCAGCTTGACTCCATTCCCTTGGGTCCTATCACTGGTCACCAGAGAGAATAGATTGGAGCCTGCCCCTCCGCTCCCCCTTGCGAGGAAGTTGTAGACCGCAACGAGGTCTCCCCCTAGCCTCCTCTTTTCCAGCCTGAACAGGCCAAGTGACCTCAGCTGCTCCTCGTACATCTTCCTCTCTAGGCCCTTCACCTTCTTAGTAGCCCTCCTCTGGACACTCTCAAATAGTTTTACGTCCTTTTTGTACTGTGGTGCCCAGAACTGCACACAGTACTCGAGGTGAGGCCGCACCAGTGCAGAGTAGAGCGGGACAATCACTTCCCTTGCCCGACTAGAAATGCTGAGCTTGATGCACCCCAGGATACGGTTGGCCCTCCTGGCTGCCAGGACACGCTGCTGGCTCATATTCAGCTTGCTATCAACCGTCTGAAAAAAAAATATATATATTGAGATATTTCTCACAGGGGGATGATCACCTCCCTGGTCCTGCTGGCTACACTATTCCTGATACAAGCCAGGATGCCGTTGGCCTTCTTGGCCACCTGGGCACACTGCTGGCTCATGTTCAAGCAAGCATCAACCAACACCCGCAGATCCTTTTCCTCTGCACAGCTCTCCAGCCACTCTGCCCCAATCCTGAAGCGTTAAATGGGATTCTTGTGGCTAAAGTGCAGGACTCGGCACTTAGACATGTTGAACCTCATCCCATTGGCCTCTGCTCATCAATCCAACCTGAGCAGGCCCCTCTGCAGGGCCTTCCTATCCCCCGGGAGATCGACACTTCCCCCCCAACTTGGTGTTGTCTGCAAACTTACTGAGGGTGCGCTCAATTTCCTCATCCAAACCATCAATAAAAATATTAAGGGGGCCTTAATGATGGGCCCCAACATCGACCCCTGGGGAGCACCACTCATGACCGATGAAATCAACTGCCCTAGGGGTGGAAACACAGCCCTACCATTTGCCATGGACTGATCCGGACTGCACTTGAACAGGGGGAAGCTCCTGAACACCTGCAGTATGTTGATGACATCATTGTGTGGGGCAACACAACAGAAGAAGTTTTTGAGAAAGGGAAGAAAATAGCCCAAATCCTTCTGAAGGCTGGCTTTGCCATAAAACAAAGTAAGGTCAAAGGACCTGCACGAAAGATCCAGTTTTAGGAATAAAATGCCAAGATGGACGTAGTCAGATCCCAATGGCTGTGATCAGTAAAGTAACAGCTGTGTCTCCACCAACTAGCAAAAAAGGAAACACAAACTTTTTTAGGCGTCATGGGTTTTTCGAGAATGCACAATCCAAATTACAATCTGATTTCTCTTTCAAGTGACCCAGAAGAACCATTTCAGATGGGTCCCTGTACAACAACAAGCCTTTGAACAAATTAAACAGTAGCCCTTGGGCCAGTATGGGCAGGACAAAATGTAAAAAAAAAAAGTGCTCTACACTGCAGCCAGGGAGAATGGCCCTAGCCAGAGACTCTGGCAGAAAGAGCCAGAGGAGACTTGAGGGTGACCCCTAGGGTTTTGGAGACAGGGATGCAGAGGATCCAACGCCTGCTATACCTCAATTGAGAGATACTGGCAGTATATGAAGGAGTTCAAGCTGCTTCGGAAGTGGTTAGTACTGAAGCACAGCTCCTCTTGGCACCCCGACTGACGGTGCTGGGCTGGATGTTCAAAGGAAGGGTCCCCTCTACACATCATGCAACTGATGTTACAGAGGAAGTGGGTTGCACTGATCACACAACAAGCTCAAATTGGAAACCCCAGGGGCGACCTTATTGCACTCTACAGGTACCTGAAAGGAGGCTGTAGCGAGGTGGGGATTGGTCTATTCTCCCACGTGCCTGGTGACAGGACGAGGAAGAATGGGCTAAAGTTGCACCAGGGGAGGTTTAGGTTGGATATTAGGAAGAACTTCTTTACCGAAAGGGTTGTTAGGCATTGGAATAGGCTGCCCAGGGAGGTGGTGGAGTCACCATCCCTGGAGGTCTTTAAAAGATGTTTAGAGCTTAGTGATATGGTTTAGTGGAGGACTTGTTAGTGTTAGGTCAGAGGTTGGACTAGGTGATCTTGGAGGTCTCTTCCAACCTAGATGATTCTGTGATTCTGTGAACTTTGTACGCGATCGTAGACCATCCAGAGGGCAGGGACTTTGAAATATCACCAGAGGAGGAGAAGATGCATGATGAAGAGGCCCCACTGTATAAATAAACTACCAGAATATGAGAAGTAGTATGACCTGCTCACTGATGGGTCCTGTCGTATTGTGGAAAAGAATCAGAGGTGGAAGGCTGCTGTACGGAGTCCCACAAGACAAGTTGCAGAAGCTGCTGAAGGAGAAGGTGAATTGATCCAATTTGCAGAAGTGAAGGCCAGAGTCAGGCCACTGAAGAACATCAAAAAACAACCAGCAGGTGGATCAGGCTGCTAGAATTGAAGTGGCTCAGGTGGATCTGGACTGGAAACCTAAGTGTGAGTTTTTTATAGCTCAGTGGGCCCATGACACCTCAGGCCATCAAGGAAGAGATGTTCTGTCAAGTATTGGGGCAATGCAACCAGAACTGGCTTCAGCCTACAACAAAGCACTACCACGTAACACCTCTAATGCCTATAAGGATCATTATGACAGAGGGAGCCCAAAGTCATGGACTAAATAAGCACAACAGGCATTTTAAAGGGATGTTCTCTGGACTAAGGGAATGATATCTGTGTACATCCAAGGACGGAAAGGGTGGGGGCAATTAATGAGGACATATTGGGATGTGTAAGACCTGAGATAGCATAGAATATGGGGTGGATATTGTCCTGGTTTCAGCCGGGATAGAGTTATTTTTCTTCGTAGTGGATGTTATGGTTCTGTCTTTTGGATTTAGGATGACAATAATGTTGATAACACACCAATGTTTTAGTTGGTGCTGAACATTGCTTACACTAAGTCAAGGACTTTTCTGCTTCTTAAACTTCCCTGCCAGAGAGGAGGCTGGGGGTGCACAAGAAGCTGTGAGGGGGCAGAACCACAACAGCTGACCCGAACTGGCCAAAGGGATATTCCACATGACATGCTCAACAATAAAACTCGGGGGAGCTGGGGG